TCAACCGACTTCGATCGAGGGCTTGGCACACGGCCACCGAACTACCGCTCGCAGTTTCTACCAAGTTAAGGATCTCCTTTTCTCGTTACCCCGCACAATGCAACGGGCCGCAGTTTCTTTGTCTGTCCGCGAGAAATTCGTGATTTGTATTTAATATGACGGCGCGCCGTGCGGCTCGAAATCGTGCGCGGATTAATTCCGCGAATGCACGGCCGGCCGTGCGCAGATTATCTTTGACGGAATTGCAACCAACGTGCACTTCCAGCGTAAGTATATACCATAGTATGTACGCGCGTTATAGATCGGTTAAATGGAGATGAATGATTTGCCCGGGCTTTCGATGAGGCACCGGTGATCGTAGGTGGTCCGCCTTTTAATTTGACGGAGTATTAATTGGAAGTTTCGGCGATCGAGATTGAATTTCCACTCGATATATCATGAACCTGTCTTTCGGCGCCAAAAATAGACCACCGGCCTTCAATCCAGTTTGTTACTGAACGTCATAATTAATTATGCTACGATCTTTCGCAAGGAGCGTAATTACGAGTTTTCTTAAATTTATCGATCGAAGGACGAGACGAAAATCAATCAAATTATTTGTAATGGTTCATGATAATGTCGCGTATCACGGTAGTAATTTACACGGTCACGCTAGAACACTCGCCTGGCGAGATGATGCTCGCGTCTTGTAACGATCAGCATCTCTTACGTTGTAATTACGCGTTCTCTGATGAATTGTGCTCGCAATTAGATAAGATGTATCTGTTTAGGGTATCTGGTAAAACGCTTGGACGTAGATCACCGCGGAGTGAACGTGCCCGGTTATGAATTAAATGTATGCTTGCGTTAAACGATTACAGATAATGGCACGTCTGCTTGCACGTTTTTGATTTCAATGTCGTAACGTCGGCGACGTCCGCGATCGTTCTTTCCTACGGTCTTTATAAAGGGATCCTTTAATATTTAATATCCTTTAGCGCAATCGGAGATCTTACATTTTTCCGGCGCGCGCGGCGACGGATATAAATGCGCTGCGAGCACGAGGAGATAAATTCGTGTCAGTTGTAAGAAATTTCGCGTGGCTGCGATTGGGAAACGCGCCGAGAACGGGAACGAGCAACGACCGCGCTTGTGCCGGGGCAATATCTGTATCGTTAAAAACCGATTCCGCGAACGCCGATTTCATAAATGCAGGATTACGATTTTCACCCGCTAATCTCACTTTTACTCTTTCCTTAACACGAAGTAGTTTCTAGCAAACAAAACGAGAAGCATGCACAATCGCAATTTTTATACAATTTTTTATTAGAATAAATAAATCATAGGAAGCGTTAAGAAAAATCAATGCACACAGAGCTATAAATTTATTGTCAATTAATAAACATACACGTTGATTAGCTAATTTTAAATGTCGAAAAAGTATTGATTTATCGACGAAGCGAAATATGGAAACAAAATAGATACAAATACGTATGATCGTTTCCACACTCTTTTCTTTATATGTATTGGTAACAATCGTTGGATTACGTGTGTGTGTAAGTGGTTGCAAAGGATAGGCTGTCTCCCGTCGTCGTCGTCGTGGCCGCTGACCGTTCCGCGAAACTAGCGCGGCGATTTAATCATTATCGGCAATCTAGCCGAGCGGCAAAAAGAAAAATCTGGGTCAGACGCCTGGGTATACCTACCGGGCACCGGGAACTCTCTTTCGATATTCGCGTGTTGCCGCCGCGAGGAAAGTCATCGTGGAAAAACGTCGGGACCGACAAGAAAATTTTACCGATTGCGACACAGCTTATCACTGACGGAATCAATCTGGAATAAACCATACCAATTGAGATTCTCTAAAAAAGAATAAGTAGAGAAAAAAGAGTCTGACTGTTGATACTTTCTTATCTGATAAATAGATATAACATGAAGTGTGAAAAGCCTGTAATTGAAAGGAATAATAAGGAAATTCCTGTTTAGTATCGTCTTTTCAGGATTTTTTATGCGATGTTTGATTGTAATTGTCTCGCGGGTAAATATCCTCGGGCCGTTTACGATACTCTCGACGCATCCTGTTTCTGGAAGCGCTCAGACGAGCGCGAGATGTGGAAACAGGACGATTTATGACGGCCCCGACGTTGAATTATTTGTTATTAATGTTAAGTATCGCCGGGATATCCGTGCGCGTCTACCTATCGTTTATTATCTCTAAATAGGTTTTCGTAATGCTCCGATGTGATTGCGTTCTTACCTGAATTTCACGGTAGCCTGCGTGTGTCTGTGTGTTTGCATCATCGTTTACATTCCTAAGCTAGCTATGAACTTTTCCTTGTAAAAAATTTGCTCTATTTCATATCTGCTCATTTCGATTTGTTAAGTATTTGACACTTGTTACGGTTTATATGAAATGGGAAAATTTAGATTTTTAGGGAAACAGAGTGAATTATATGTAGTATTACATCACAGAAGTATTTATTCTGTGTTACATTTTACAACTTAATTTGCATTTTAACCTCCTCTCTCTCTCTCTCTACACTAATTTTCAAAGTGGATCGTTTCGGACGAACGGAATGATAATTCGTACGTTTTCCCGCTAGACGATTCCGTAATTAGATCTTCGGTTTATTGCCTCTTAAATGGGGAAGAACGGTCGAGGTGGCATAATTAAAACCGCGAATCACGAGCTCGCGTTCCAATGCGTCGCGAACGGAATCAGTTGGTGGCCCGTAAACCATGTTACTAAAACGTAGAAACACAGTTTTACGACCGTTTTAATAATCGTCTACCTTCGGCGGGAAACATAATTAGTACGATTAGGTTGATGTAAGCCGTAGGAATTCTCTTTTTAATAGACTTGTCTAATTCCGATTACTTAAGTGAATACAGTTTTAAATCGTTTTATTTCATATCCTCGCGACGGGTATCGTCTAATATTGATCACAATGCTCACGAGTAGACCGAATGAGTTAAGGATGTATTGGCTATACAGTCAATCCCAAAACTTTATGTATTTTAGAAAAACGCATTTCCTATAATTAAAAAGAAACGACTCAGACGTCGGAAGAATAATGCTAATTTATTAATAGAATGCATATGTACATTGAAACATTACATACTGAAATTTATTAATAGAATGCATATGTACATTGAAGACAATTCACATGATTTACTAAAACAAGATATGAAACTAATCTCTCCCAATAGAAATAGTAGAAATTGCTTAAAAAAATAGTTGTGATTAAAGGATCCACAAGTTGAGAATCGATGGAGTATACTATAGAATGTATATGTATAGGTAGGTCTTGTTCGGGCGTTGAAATCTCCGAGGCGATAGCACTATACATAGCACCTATACCGGAGACTTGACGCGGGTATAGGAAGGTGCGCCGCTAGGCGATTCACCTATCGCTTCTTTCAAACTCTTCATGGGTGTCATTAACATACTGCCTTCTCACAGTTTTCTATCCAATTTCAATTCATTTATTCTGTTTCCATTAACATTATTGGATTTTCATCTGTCTCGTTTCGAATAGTCATGTGACTTTTCTAACATTTGTCGATAAAATTTTGAAGTCTTTTGCTCTGCTTCCTCGATAATCAGCCAAAACTAGCGCAATATGCGTGGCTAATTGTTGTGTCAATTCACGGAATATCTATCTCATCAATCTTTCCGGCTGCCTCGCTCCTTTTGGGTGAGTTCGATGCGCGCCGCGCGTGTAATCTGCATATGAAAATCGTTAGGGAACTGAGATGGGAATACTTTTCATAAACACTTGTGTGATCGCACGATGAAATATGATACATCACCATCAAGCAACTGTTCGTTGCATAATTACTCTTGCAGATATAATTGGATTGTAGATCGCAGAACAGATTAGTTCATTCTTAAATAAAAACAATGATAAGGCATTGAAATTTTAATAGTTATATATATTACATTGATAAAACTTAGTTTGATCTAATTTATGAAAGAATATTTGTAATTACGCATAATTGCTAACACGTGTTTTAACAATATTTTAAAGTTGAAATATTATCAAATATATTAGAGATGCACAGTAAGAAGTAAGCAAAATTAAGAATTGTAGTACTTGTAGACACTGTAAATAGTTGTAAACAAAGTACAATCCTATGAACTCAAAGCCAAGACTGTATTAGAATATTACAAGTTATACATTAAAAATCCTTTGTAATTTAACGTCGAATTAACACGTCGAAAAATTTTATGAACCTCACTTCTCTGTGAATATAACTTCCCCTAAAAATGTATCCCTTCATATATTGGACATAGCTTTCTATCACATTTCTTAAACTTATGGCAAAGATATAAGCATACAATCTGTAAATGCTCACAAACAGAAATCTGTGTGAATACGAATTGCATGAAATTGTCGATTCAATCTAACCATTTCATATAACTGATGCTCGATAAAAGTTATGTAAACGTTTTCATCTAAAGATAGAATACCGTGCTTAACGATTTGGATTACGGATTGCGTACGAAGAGTCTGAATCGTCGTTCAGTTTCCAGCGAGCGTTTACGTAGGTTTGAACAACGCAAGGTTGTCGAAACTTCGCTATGTATCTTTAATTGACTCGCGTGGGATTAATCAAGTAACGCCAGAGGGTGAAACGTCGGCCCACGCTTTCTTCTCGCGTTACAACGTACGTGAACAGACGCGCGCCCGACTATTAACCGTGCGTGTGAACGACTGCTGCTTGCAATTGATTACCACCACGCTTTATTACATTTTTTTTTTATCCCGGACTATTTAATAATCGTGTTCGCCTCGCGAGAAATACGTGACGAAACTCCAGCCACGTTTTCGCGGAAGGCCGACGATTAAGAATTCCTTCAAGTCAATCCCCGGTTCGAGTCATCGAGCTAAAATTAATTCGCCTCCGGTTGATAATAATCCTAAGTTTAATTCAGCTTACGAAATGTGTCACGAATGAATAGGCATTAGGTACAATGTTTCTTAATGAGTATTTTAAAGTCTACGCTTATCAAATACCTTCAAGCACCATGAGTAGCGAATTTCTCAGTTCATCTTGTTGATTGGGTCCAATGTCTCCACCTGAAATCAGAACAATTGGATACACATTATATGGAGAACATTATACATATTGCAACGTTATTATGTGGAGAAACTAACGGCATGTTTTTTTTTTTTAACGAAAATCTTGCCAATAAGAAAAGCAGTAACTTTTCCACTCGGTAAATTCGCGAAAGTCGGTGATTCGCGCGCACCTTCTTATCTCTACCATACATCAAGATAACGTTGTTAGAGCGGTAATGAAACGCAACTCGCGCCACTTAACGATAAACAATAAAAAAAAAAGAAGCAATGTAGTCGTGTTCAGGGCGTGAATTAACGCCGGGCCGAATGAAAGCGATTGCGTAATTAACAAGGGTGGTGGATGAATTATAGTGCGTCTGGTGCGTGGCGTAAAGCGGTCGGCCAATAAATTGTTTGCGTCAGGTACGGTAATCAAATTTGACAGTCGTGACGGCAGCTTGCTTAACGGCCGGCGTGCTTCTAAAGTTAACTGTATGAGTTATTAATTCGAGGGAATTGTTTCATTAGAGATATCTTGGAAAATATTACACGCGTTCAAACGTTCAGTTAAGGTTCTACGAGCCGTAAGATCTCTGTCAAAAGATTAAGACACGTAATGAAAAGCTGTCTCCAATATTTGAAGCAATGAACTTTTATAAGAAATGATAATTACAGAGGAGTAAGGTTTATAAAATTGTTCGACTTGCTTTACTCAGTCATAAGGAATTCTCGAAGCATAATTTTTAATATTTTAATACATAGTTTTGGCATGTCTGAACTGTACGTGACTTGCGATTGTCTACATGTCTTATAATTCTTAATTTTGCA